AGACCTCAAAGCCACTAATTAATATTTCAGAATGTTAATGGCATAGCGTTAAGAAGAAAGTGGGTTACTAAAGGAATGGCAGCAATCACTCAGTAACTGAAGATGAACCACAACTCTGCTATAAATGTGAATTTTGACACTACATTAACATCTCTACTCCTGCACCCACAGTATCCAGCAGAAAGAGAAATCATTGCATTCCTGAAATTTGGCACGCTTCTTATCCTAGAGAAGGGAAAAAGCAGGGAAGCAAATTTAAATCTGAGAGGAAGAAGGGATATGAAGTTTCAGTGACTTTAGGATTGGCAGGATTTGAGCACTGCGTTATAAAAATTTAGTTGCCTTTTTAGTTTTATCCCCACACCCCGGTGGTAACTGACTGCAAGCATGGGAAATGCAGTAAATCTTAAATCTTGAGATAGAGTATACTGGCCTGTGGTATAATTCAGCTAGAAGATAAGTGCTCTATGTGGGAGTTGTGCATGCCCAGTGCAGGCTGAATCTTCAAGAAAGTATATTTAATAATTAAAGCCTTCAGAGAATTAGTACTTGTTTAGAGGTATTTTTCAAGTGAAATTTTGCATGCAGACTGAGAATCTAATTCAGATGCTTGCTTTAGGGTGATTAATTTTCAGACAAATTATTGAACCTTTGTCAAATTCTAAAAAGAATTAAAGAAATTTGAAATGCTGGGGAATGCGATTTGCAGGAGTATCAATGCTGACAGTCCTGAGAGTACATAAAGAGTTTGTTTTTCTGATATAATGCATTAGATGTCTATCACAGTATCATGCATGCATTCACTTTGACTAAAACTCTTAATAGTCTTTTTTTTCTTTAGAGCATAGGGATGTGGGTGATGGGGTCATGGAAGTGTGTGTGTTTTTCTTTAGGTCCTGGAGTTCTCAACTGAGATTGTACTTTTTGTACTTGATGCACTGTGATAAAAGAAGATGATCACTAGTTCAAAGACCTGATGAGATATGCATGATCTATCATCTTCCTCAGTCTACAGATTGTAGAGAAGGACAATCCGTAAAAATGGCGGGTTCACATACCTGCTTAATTGTGAAAGTGGTCTCAGTTCTCCCAAGGTCTAGTGCATAGCTTTCACATTAGGACTCTTGTTCCTCCCACAATTGCTTTCAGTTCTTTGTGAGAAATCCTCAAAATAAGGCTCTTCAAATGACAGGGATTTTCAGACAATCTACGATGTCATCAGAAATAAAGCAAGCTTCCCATGATTTTGTATGCCATGTCACTTCAGGACTAAACTTCCCTGGGTAATTCCATCATTAACCAGATTAAAATCAACATTTTAAAAATGTCATTGCAATTCTATTTTTAAAAAACTTCTTGTGTTTTTGCTTGCAATACCAATAGCATGTCTTGGCTGTGTTATATTGGTCTTGCAGAGTAGAAGCCCATTATAGAATTTTGGGAAAAGGTTAAGAGGCTATAAAAGATTGTTTTTGAGCACATAAAGATCATTACTTGTTCTTATAAACAGTTCTAGATTTAAACCAATCTGCCTCTAAATCCAACTGCTGGGTCATGGAAAACAGTTCTTTCGTTGTAGAAGAATCAGAAAAAATGTTGGGGGAAAGGGGGAGGCGTGAGAGTGGGAGTGTTTGGGTGAATTGATTGGAGATTTCCTGAGGTCGTGCAGTCCAAGGATTATGAGCAGGACAGGATATTGGAAGGCCATGAGAAAATGATGTAGCTGTAGCCTGTCTCGAGTGAGTGAAGCATAAGGGACAGTGCTTGCATCTGCTGAGGATCTGTACAGATTGAAAAGGGAAGACAAAACTTTTTTTTTAATCTTTTTTTTTTTTTCTTTTTTCCTTTTGAACCTCATTCTTTTGAGACCATTTTTAGAAAGTTTAGTCATGCTGTGACGTGGGCAGTAATTTCCTAGGAGTTCTGGGACTTTCTGGGTGTTGCAACCTTACATGTTTGTTATGAAAGTGTTTATTTATGAAGTATCTTAGAGTAGTCAAGTCAGTTCTGTTTTTGAACCAAATCTACACTATTCTCCTTGTGAAACTACTCTTGCAATAAAATCTACACTATTCTCCTTGTGAAACTACTCTTGCAATATTAGGTCACTTTCTCCTCTTTAAATATTCTTTGTGATAATAATGACTTGTCTGCTACAGAACAAATAGCTTATATTTTACTGGACGGAATTTGGAAGTAGTTGCAGAAGAAACTTATTGTGGTTGAAAGTTGCCCAGTTTTTCACTGTAACTGTGTGCAAATGTGTTATGCATTTTAAATGTTCGTGTTTTTATGTAGGAGGAAAAGGAAGTTGCAAGATAAAAAATAGTTCATATACTTTTAAGGAGAACCTCTACCCCCAAACCACTAAGAAAGAATCAGTTTCAGAGATACAAACTCTTTTAATAGTCCTATATTTTTATATCTATCTATCTATCTATATATAGTATATATTTATATTTATATATATTTATATATATCTCATGCACATTGTGTTCTCAGGAATTATCACGGGGAAAATAAATATTTGGTACAGAATGTGATTTAATTAATGTTAAAAAAAATGTTACATACAAGTTAAATCACCAGAAAGCTTTTCTTCACAACTGTCTGCAACATACCTGCTGTTTGCATTTACTGCAGCAAGTACTGTTTAGTTTTCAAAGAGAATATCTGCTGTGTTTTATGATATAATAATAAGTTGTACTCAAATATACTGTGAGAGGATACAGAATATTTTTGTGAAATTTATCCCCAATCCAAAGTTTCATCCAGGGTAGACAACGTTTTTGAATCGTAGAATAGTTTAGTCTTGATGGTGTTTCACCAGGTAATCTGAACCATCTCGCTACAGGAAGCAGGACTAGCTGGATTAATCTCTTAATCAGAGAATTAAAAACTTATAAAAGCAGTATAATTTTGTTTCTAACTTATTAAAATGCTGTGAGAGAACTCGAAGATAAAGAAATGAAAAAAAAGAGTCTTGATAGGGTAACAGCTTCTCATCAGTTAAATGTGTGCAATAGAAAAATGTGAAATATTGAATTCTGAAGTAGGAACCTTCAGTACAGATCTTCTACATGACCAGAAAATTCCCTATTTTGAGTGAAGTGGAATTGTCAGCTAATTGTTGCTATAAGGACAAAAACTATAATTTTTCAGAATGAGGATGTTAATGCTGTTTTTTGAACCCTCCTACGTCTATAGGAATTATGTCTGACACAACTAAATCTGATTTTCTTTACAGTTCCAATGGCATAAATGTTTTAAATTTAAAATCTACTTGGCTGTATATTTTTAATTGGCTGTGTTTCTTTGCAGTGGTGATGTAGATGTATAGAACTCTGTCTGTTGAAGCAGATACAGAAAGATATAGAAACAATGCCATTCAGTGCTGTGGATTTTGAGGAAATGATATATTGCTAAAATCATCCCCTAGGTGAAGCAGAAATTCTGTGTGGAATTTTCTTCAGAGGACAGTTATTCCCCCCCCTCAAGTGTAGTAACATTTTCTTAGCAAATTAGAAGTGTGGAATTTTTTGAAGACTGAGTATTTCATTCATTAAAATGTCGGCTCAAATTCTAATACTGAACTTGTTGCTTCCATCAAACTTTGAAGTGATTTTTCCTTAGAAGCTGTCAAAGGACTGCTTTTTTATCTAGCTGCAAATGCACTTGAGTTCTGTCAGGAGAAGCTGGTACCATGTTTGCATACAACTTCTGAAATATTGCTCGAAAATATTCTCAGTAAGAGAGAGTTGTTTTCATCCTTGTTTCAGACTTACAGAAACATAAGTCTGAAATTGTTCATTACAGCACAAGAAGCAGGAAGGACTGCTTGTCAGGCAGAGAAGGACATCTCAAGCAATACTTGGAGGATTGCTTGTACTGATATTTTTTTCATTGCAGATCATTTGCATTGTGGTACCAGGAATTTTTAGCGTGCGTAAGGAACAGCTGTATGCCTGCCTTTCTGTTTGCACAGTCAGATTGGACTTGTAAGGTTTCGGTATTACAAATTTCATCTGGTTTGTTTATTATAACACAGCTGGGCTTCTCAAGGCCGTTGAAGTTACTGCAAGCAGTGGAATGGTATGCTTCTTTTCACAGCTTCATGCTGTATTTCACAGAAGCTTTTAACTTGCACTATTTACAGATTTTTTTTTTTTTTTTTTTGAGGTATGGATGCAAGAACAGATAGATGTTTGTTTATTTGCATAAGGGGAGTTAGTCATTTTCTGGAGCCAAAACCTCAGGGGTGGGCGCTGCTTGGCCTCAGTGACTTTAAACTGTCCTAGCAATGTAAAAAAGCTGTTTGTCTGAATTCGTTTTTTATTTTGATATGCTACGTTTTCTGTTGTCGTTGTTTTTGTTTTAAAGATGCTGAGTGCAATAGAGCACAAAACATGCTGTAAGTGTGAGCACCAAGCTAGTAAACATACACGACTCTCCTTTACAGAAAAAATAAAGGACTCGGCAGAGATTAGATACTGGTTGAAAAATTTACCGTTCTTCCTCCCTCCCCAGGCTCAAATTTAGCCTAACACCTTTCCTCTCCCTTTCCTAATTTCAATTTCTTGTTTTCCTTATGGGTTACACTTAGTCCTCCATTGAGGTGAGGAATGGTGCAGGAGCCTGGGTTTGTGCATGTACATTTTGGCCTGCTGCTCTCTTCTCCTTGTCGATCTGCTGTTTCTGCTCTTTTGTTTTATTTTGTGTCCATGCTCTTGTGCAGCTCCTCAGAACTGTCCCCTGTCTTGGGTGTCAGCTGGAGAACTCCTCCCTGGCCAGTGCTCCAGGCTCTGGCTGAGGGAGTCCCATCATTTTGACACAGTGTGGGTTGCATCTCATACATGCTGTTGAAGGCCATTCATTTTATATGACAATTAACAATGTTCAGTGAACATAGGGAATGGCTTTTCAATCTATTTAGAGACTTGTCTGCAAGTCTTGACTTCTATTCCCTACCCTGGCTAATATTTAATTACTTTACTTTGCAGATTAGAAGATCTTTAGCAGTGGAGGCTGAAAGAGGCTTGGCTGAGTGACTACTGAAAGGATACCTGAGAGGTAGGAGACCATCATCCAAATCTTTGCAGTGAATTCAGACGTGAGTGATTTCAGCTCAAATCCTTCATTTCCCATGCAAATGCTTTCTAATCCAGCTAGTTAACAAAATGCTATTGGCAACCACTGTGGCTGTCTGGTTTAATTGCTGATTTTGAGGAGATGTCTAGTGGAAGTATCCATTGCCCTGCCCAAAACATTTGTGGAATGCCAACATCACAAGACTAGAATTGTGAGGGTAAATTTCATGCCAAGAGGGGATTTGCCAGTGTTTTCAGGCAAAAATGAGGTGAATGGCTACTTCGGATGTTCGGAGATACACTATTGGCTGTAAAGGCTTTAAATCCTGTTCTAAGGACTGATGGGTAGGAGTTTACATATGGGACTCATTTAATATTTTCATTTTAAAATAAACTACAAAGGACTATGAAAGAATAGAGTGCTTTTGAGAATGCTGGATTGCAAGCTATTCATGGTCTCAGATAGTTTTTGATTTAAAGAGCCTCTTGATATCCCTATTTTTTGGTAAGATATTGCATCAGACCTAAAAGATGAAAAGTTGCTGAAGGTATAATTTGTGTCATTTCTTCTAAAAATGTCTGGCAAAGACTTTTGTGTGGGGGTGAGTATGTTCTGAGTAATTGCTTTGCATTTATTAGTTTTTCCATCTAATAACTTTGAAAAATGATAAAATATCAGTGTGATTGTTCAGAACATTGTGATAGCTGCAGTTCAGTGTGCTGGGGGCACAAACACAGCTCCTGTTTGTTGAGGTGATAGAGACAGTGCAAGTTTGTGATCTCTTTTTGATATTTTAGTGAATATGCATCTATATTTTCAAGTTGTTTGTTAGAATACTTTTTACTCTTATTCTGGTGACCACAGAGAGACACATCTCTTTTTTCCTTGGACAGAATATGCCAGTTCTGATTGAGTTACATTTAAAGAATATGTTAATTTTCAACCACTCTCATAAAAACGATACTCTGTCTTGGGTATGCCTTGTTATTCTTACACTAGATACATATTTTGTCAAGGTAATTGTAACTCCATGTTCAGATCTTTCTTTGGTGAATGAATTTTGCAAAATGCTGAAGACTGCTACTGATGAAACTTTGCTTTAACCTACTTAACTCTGCTGATATCTGTAGGACTACTTATGTAATTAAGTTTGAGCATGTGATCCAGTTTGCTAGACTCAGGTCAAAATGTTCGGTGCTTTGCATCTTGACTTATTAAGCATGGATAATACAAGTTTTAAATCTTAATTTAATGATTATTTGGACAAGGCAAGATTCCTATCTGGTAATGCAGATCTGGAATCTGATCTTCTGTTCAGATTCCAGTGTAATGTTTGTTTGTGTATAGGCAGAAGTGCATCAGGGCCACTTACATAGCAGTAAAAGAAGGGCCACCCAAGTCATAGGATAATGCATTAACAATGCACTTAACTAACAAATTTAACTGATTTTTAGAAAAATCCTTACGTGTATAGTGTATAAGTGCACACATGTCTGATACCTAGCATGACTCATGTTTAGTTATTAATACAATCTTGGAGATAAGGTATTTGACAAGAACAAGCTTTTATGAATGCTGAAACTGAGATGGTTATATAATACTAGTAGCAGCAAACAACTTTTTCAAAGCCTCACAGAAACCATTCAGCAGTGGGAACTAGATGCCAACTTCATTATCACCTATAAGGAAGCAAACAATGGAGCTTTGTAGGCTCACAGGCTGTGTTTGAAACAGGAGTTTTAAGAGCCAGCAGGTAAACTCAATCAGATAGATATGTCTATTAACAAAGCAATTGAGTGTATTTTAAATGCTAGTTAAAGTTTCTTCAAGGTACGTTTATGTGCTGAACGTAGGAGGATGCAGTGAGCCAGGCAGTAAAGTAATAGTGGCCATATTAAAATTGTCTTAACCACGGTCTCAGGCCATTTTACCGTGGAAGTAAATGTTTTTATGTGTGTTTTACAGACCTGGAAATGAACAATTTAAGAGTTGCAATCAAAAGGAACAGTAACATTTTAAGCTAAGAAAAGAAAGTGCTACAGAGAGAGGGGTGAAGTACTGGAAATGGTTTTTGATTGCCATGTTTTTATGGGTAAAATATTCTGATGAACCTAGCGTTGAGTAATTACTGATGTTGCAGTTTACCAAGCTGATAAATAAGTTCCTTTTGATTTAAGAATACAGACAACTTTTATTCAAACTGAAACCGTAATTTGGTGAAGAAGTTGAATTATAGTGTTTGGTCTCTTCGGTGGAATAGTTTCCTTTATGTGCTTCCTTAAAGAGGACAGACAGAACACTACTGAATAATACCTCCTCTCTCTTTAGGCAGTTCTGCCCAGAAGGAGCTCGGTGTTTCCTCCTGGGACAGGCTTTCATCTTGAATTTATTTCCTGAGTGCAGTTGGCTTTTACTATTCAAACCAAGCAGATTGCATTCAATAAAAGTTGTTCAAAGGTGTTGCCAAGGAAAAAGGATCCGACCTGCTGAACTTTTACAGATGCACTGATATCCACATGCATCCCTCATGTTGCATTGTTAGCAGTTATGTGTAATAAACCACCAGATTGTCCTGTGGTAATTGAGTTTCCAGTTTAATTCTTTTTCTACTCATTAAAATGGATAGTAGGGGCGCTATTCCTATACTGCTTCACTGATTCTAATTTGAATTTAGTTATGGCAAGTGATACCACTCTGCAAGTAAGATATACTTCTCCTCTTTACAGACATGAATATGTAACTAGAGGAATTTTTAGTTTGTAGCAGGTGCTATACCACTATTACATGATAAAACCAGAGGCAGAATTTGTTACCTTGACTTATGGTTCTGTGTGCTGGTGCAGCTGTTCATCAGTAGCACTTTCACAAAACAAAAGAGCAGGGGAAAGTTTTGGGTGGGATTGTTCATTCATTTTGAGTGTTTTCCAGCAGAGATTCTGCCATATCAACTATATGACTTGTCAGGCTTTAAAATACCATAGTTTAAGGGAATTTCCATTACGTTTCCCTTTTTTTTTTTTTTTTTTTTTCTATTTATTTCACTTTCTCTGGTTCTCCAGGGAAATTATTTTCTTTAAAGCTCCCAGGATGAGAGAAGAATCCTACGTGGCAGTTTGTTGTAATGGCTTTTTTTTTTTTTAATTCACACAACTTCACACATGACAAAGTTTTGAATATGTTTGTTGTTTTGCAACTCTTGGGCATTATGAAATTTGGAAGACAGTTTGTTAACAGAACCTTGAAATTAGCAACACAGGTTTTATTTTATGCAGACATCTGATTAAAAAAAAAACCCAAACCATAGTTGTTTAATGGTTCTAAAATAGTCTATTCTAATTTTAAAAATGAATTCTGATTTGATAAGTTTTGTCTGAAGCAAGAGGTGGAATTCAGTGGACCTAAGTTTTTGTCTGCATTGTAGCTATTGATGTCTGAGTTAGTTATGGCAAAAGCTGTTACTGAAGTTTAGCAAGCAATTTATCTGACTGTCTGCAACCCAAAAAACCCAGAATGTTGAGGTGTTTTAACATGAACACATGAACATGTTCTTATTCTATCGGTACTTATTTAAAGAAATCATAAAACTTTTTCTTCTTCAGAAACGCTTATATGGAATCATATAAAAGGAGATGAACTCATTGTTATTTCAAACACATCAGTTTCATATTTCCTGGATAACTAGCAATCTGGAGAATTTCAAAACTTAGTTGTATATTTCAAAAGATCCACAAGTCTTTTCAAAACCAATATTTTTATGTAGGATCCTCCTTTAAAAATTTAGTTTATATGTCCGATCTTTGAAGACACCTTTTTATAGAACACTAGCTGAAATGCTGATTGTGTAATCAAGCAGGGATTTGATTTGTTTTTCTTCTGTTAGTCATGGATGCATTAAGAATGAATTAGCATAGTTTGTGATGACAGATTTAATATGTTGTTGTCATCCAGCTTATTCACAGAGTTCTGTCTGTGTATGTTTACACGCACACATTCTTGCTAGAATTTCAAAAGCTATGAAGCGCAGATTTTTCATGGTAAGGAGTCAGGAGTGTTTGTATTGAAGACGGATTACATTTGTCTTTGGTTGTCAGTTTTTCTTTAGTCACAAAATAAAATTAACTCTAAAATGCTTCATTTCAGTTCAGAGTTTGGGTGTAGGTTCTTAGACCTCTTTCTATGAAATCTAGATGCAACAAACAAAATTTTGGTGTTCTCCCTGGAGTTTACCACATAAACTTTTTTCCAGACTTAACCATAAAAGATAAAAAGATTAAAAAAAAAAAAAAAAAAAAAGGCAACTTCTGAAAACTTCCTGTTGACATGGGGGAAATACATAGCTGATTATCTCGCTGTAGTCAGGGAGGTAACACTTTTCTGCTGTGTGTGTCATCCTTTGAGCCAAGGAGTCAAGTTTGTCCTGTGTAAATAGTGTCATATGTGTTTCAAGGTCTGTTGTTAAAATCTAGCCCTGTATAGGAATTCATCTTTACTCTTCATGCCAGATTTTCCTTAGGAGAGAAGTTCTAAGAAATACATTCATGCCTTACACTTTCAGGCTTGAATGCCTTTTTATAGCAGGTAATAGATATGTCTCTGTGTGTTTACTGCAGTAGCTGTTATTTTATCACATATCTGTTGCAGAGTACACGTGAGGTAGGTTGGCAGTAGTGTCTATCAGCTGCTCACATGATGTATTTCCATCATTCTGTGTCTGTCTAAGTGAAGTTATGTCATAATCCAAGCCAAAATTAGTTATGCTGAGACACACATAGTAATGTTATGATTATCTCTCAGTTTTACTGGAAATGGGCATCAGATTACGCATTATGTGTTGTTTTGAGTTCTTTTCTATCATAAATTCTGTAAGCAGTGTGACAATTGATGTAAACCAAGATTATTTGCAAAGTGTGCATTGCCAGAAGATAGTAAAAACTGCTCATTTTCTGTACTTTTCGTATTTTAGAAACTCATAATTCATTTTG